TCTAACAAATTTTTTTATGTTAAGATAAGTAGTCAGTTGATAAATGGATTGTTGTTAGTTCCTTTGTTGATTGTAGTTCGTTACATCACCCATACATCACCCCACTTTAGTATGTTGTAACAAAGAAAAAAAAAATTTTAGTTCGTACATATCAATGGAAGATCATTTTTGTGATTAACCGAGTGAGGATTAGTTACAGGCGTTCTGAAATCTCAGAGAATATGGAATTTGTAGAAAGAGAATAAAAAGTTTTTCACACACACAACTTACTTAATGGTAGTAAAAGTGATGAGTGTGACCTGGGAAACTCTATAAAATCTTTCCATTTTCGGGGACAAGAAATTTGTAAATGGCAATGATTTGATCGACTGGTGGGTACATCCATTAAAAAAGTTGTGACCGTCACACAAAGTATTTGAGTTGCACCAAGTTGGCGGAATTACGTAGGCTGAATTAGCTGAATACGGAATCATCGGTATATACCATCACCGCTTAATCGCCACACGTTTTCTTATAATGAACAAATGGTTTGATTTATTGATTATAATGGTAGGGGCACAATCATTCAATATTTGAAAAATATTTACCTCATTTTTCAAATTTTTTTTTCCCTTTTAATTTTTGATTCGTTAAAATTAAAAAAATGTGGCAATTAGCGTGGTTTGTTCATTTCTATCATCGACTGGCTCAAATTATTTTACTATGATGATTAAGACATTGTTATACTTTCATAGTCAAAAGTGGTTCGTTAAGTGAAAAAAAAAAAAAAAAAAAGGGTTTGTGTCACGAGAGAAAAAAAATTGAACATTGATTTTTTTTTTTTTACTGTGTAAATAAAATAAAAATAAAGCAAACACAAACTGTATTACCGTTTATCATGTATAAGCTACTTTATCTGATATGTACATTGATGTGAAAAAAAAAATAATTTATTTTTATTTCAACTATTTATTATTCTTATTATAAAAATGATTTTACACCACAGTAAAACCACATGACCATCTCAATCCTCTAAAATAGCAGGAAGGCAAGGGAAAAAAAAAAGCCTTAAATGCATTAAGGTGTAAACAAAGATGCAAGGTGATTAAGTCATCAAGCGAAGTAAACAGAAAGAATGTGGGGTAAAAT